TCGCCTTGCGGACATGTGCTCTGCATGACATGTCTACTGGAGTGGTTCAAGGCGGCGCCTCCCGGTGAAGACGAGATGTTGGACGACGACTACCCTGATGCCCTCCTCTATCGCAAGAAGACCTGCCCGTGCTGTCGAGCAGTCGTGCGTAGCCGACCGATTCCGTTGTACCTTGTTAAGTCCATCGCCTCCGCGCTGGACAAGGCCAAGACACCACCCGGGACCGTACGCACATCCCCTCCTCCAGATGACCATGATCCCTGGGCCGGAATCTTCCGGGATCCCACCGACTTCGAAGACTACTGGAGCACTGATGAGGACGACGACGACGAGGAAGGGGGCGATGACGACGGCGAAGATGACGATGGTTATGACGACGAGGACGGGTACTGGTCCTTCGACGGATACGGCACGGACGAGGACGAGGAAGCCTACCACGGCCCGTACGTGTCCGCGCGCTGGGCCCCGCCGAGCGTGCACGTGTCTGCCGACGAATACCCGTTCCTGCACGGCGACTCTGAGGACCTGAAGATGCTCCGCCGCGGCGCGACGCTGCAGATGATCGAGCTCTTCCAGATGAGCTACTCCCACGACGAGGGCCTGGTCGCCATCGTCGAGGACGACAATGTCGTTTATCTCGGCTGGAACATCGAGCTGCACCCGGACGACGAGACTGGGGAGGAGTACATGGACTGGGTCCTCGGGGACATGTACGACAGGCCGGAGCGGTGGCGAGTCGTGAACAACCCGCGGGACGGGTCCTGGACCGCACACAAACTCGTCCCGCAGTACGAGGTCGAGGCCGACTATGACAACACTGACTCGGAGGAGTGGACGGCGGGAAGCAGTGACGAGGACGAGGATATGTGAAGGAGCGGTGTGCTTTTGTGTGGTCTTGTACGCTTTTCTGAATGACTCTCAGTGTATACTTCCATGTATAGTTCCTTGTCGTATGTACTCTTGCCGTTGATCTTTATGCTAACGTTCCATACCCTTCACACCAGGCCCTTAGATCACTTGTCTTAAGTGTTGGCTGGCATGTGCACGCACATGGCATCCAATGTGTGGACATCTACCCTGTTGAACGTCCTGCTTTATGGGCATAGGTGACCGTGTAGTATTGGTCCGTGGTGCAGTACAAGATAGCTACCGAGGAGGGGTTTGGAAGACAATGCGTTCACAGGTACAAGTTATTGACCATACACTACTCATAGGTCACGTCGGAAGGGCGGTGAGGAAACATGCGTACTGCGAAACCAATGGAACAGTCACAAGGACAACCATAGAATACATACGATGGTTGCGGCCACGACGGCAGCTTCCCACGTCGCTGCCCCTGCCGCGCGCACAAACCTCTTCACTGCGTGCCCTTGAAGACCATGTGCCGCCAAGCGAAGGAGTAGAGCTTCCTCACAAGCGACGTGCCGAACACCGACGGCGCCTCCGCGGAGAAGATCCCGGACGGATCGAGGTGCTGCGTCAGCCCGAACGCGAGCATAAGCGGCACGTTCGCGAGCCTCCTCAGCAGCGGCGCGGCCCTGACCAGGAACGTGGCTGTGCGGCCCCCCCAGGCGGACGGCGCAGCAGACTCCCCGGGGTTGGTAGCGTGTAGGTCCACGCGGCTCACGGAGGGGAACGGCGCGAGGACCGTCGCCCAGTCCGCGGAGCTCAGCTTCACGTTCCTCAGCGCGACCGTCAGCTGGGTGATGTTCGCGAGCCCGCCCGCGCCGGGGTCGAGGGAGATGTGCAGCAGGCTGGCGGGGTCGCCGGGGAGCATCTCCCAGTCCCAGTGCACCTGCACGCGGCCGTCGCTGTCGGAGAGGGTGAAGAGGTAGCGGAACTCGCGCCCCTTCTCGTCCTGGTCCAAAGCGGTATAGGAGAGGTGAGCGTGGTGCACGGAGGAGAACATGTGGCGCAGCGAGGCGAGGCTCTGCGACGGGAACGTGGGTTGAAGGTACACCTCTATGCGCGTCCTGGGGTTCATCGTCAACTTGGAGAGAATGCCGTCTATCGCGCATGGGGAGACACCCTTGAGGCTCAGCCTCTCCAGGTATGGTAAAGCGACCGCCGGCAGATCTTCGAGCATTCGGGGTGGTGCAGAGGACTGCGAGGCGCTAAGGCGTACGGACAGCCTTCGAAGTACCGGCGTTCTTTGCAAGAATAGGAGAAGTGACTTCGGGGAGACCGTACGGGCCGCAACGATCTCGAGATCGGTCAATTCGGGGAGGGGGTTCGGAACGTGATCGATGTCATGCCCTGCGGCGATGCCGGACTGGGTTGTCATGTTCTCAGAGGGAAGAAGTTCGACCGGTTGGGCTTGCTCGGCGGTGTCCTTGTGCTTCGGGAGAGATGTAGCATCGAAGAGAAGCGAATTGATACGGCGTCCGTGGTCTCGCAGAATCGCATCCACCGAAGGAAAACTCGCGATCTCCTCACCCGCATCGACCCCCGAGTCTGTTGGGCGTACGAGGTGAAAGGGACCCACGCCACGAAAGAGGCATTCCAGACGATAGTACGAAGACTCGATAGCGTCGTTGGAGGGTATGAGGCGAGCCACGTTGAAGGGGTGTCCTTCGAGGCTTGACGCTGAGCGACTCACCGTGGCGTCATCCTCGGTCGAACCTTCGTCGCTGGTGGCGTGCTCGGCGGCCTCTTCGCTAGATGAATCACTGAGTAGACGCTTCGGGGACACCGTGCGACTGCCAATCGCGACCGTGGTTGGGAACCCTTGAGGAAAGACGCGGGCATGAAGGGCGGGGTCGCCCAAGGGTAATAAAATTGAGTGCGTTCTCCAAGTGTCGTCGCCTGAGGAGCGGAGGAGATATTTCATGGGCATCTGGAGCACGAGCGCAGGTCAGCGAGGAGACAGGAAAAGGGAAGGTGGCCGCGCCACACCTCAAGGAAGTGGACGAGGGACGCTAGAAGAGTCTTCGATGGGGAGAAAAGTGAATCCCGAGAGTGAACGACGCATTACATATATACCACCACCTGTGGACGCTTCGCAGACGATCGGATAGCGGTGTTGACAACACACGCGGCTGTTGGGTACGGGGCGACTGAAGAGGAAAGGAGGCGAGTACAGCGTCCCGCGCTGCGTGTATCAAAACTGCGCCATTCTTGCCTTAAAGGAGCGTTCGGTTCTTTCGGAGAAACAACACGTTCCATATTTCGCAGCCGTATGTGGCAAGGAGGAACGTTCTTCCTGGTAAACGCAGGTGGCTACCCACGCATTTCAAGGCGAGGTGGGGCGTTGGCTGTACCCTAGCAGGTGGCATGAAAGGATTCAGATTGCAGGGGAGCACTAGCCTTCGTTGGACTGACCTCTGCGCCCAGGACTTCTGTTGCCGAAACGAATTGGAGGCCCGCACATCCCCCACAAAGCATGAGGTCTGTTCTCGATCACGTCGGGCTTGGAATTGTACTTGGGAGCTAAAGCACCGGCTGCTAACTTGCCATATACGTAGTTCCCGATGTATCGGGGTAGCCTCAGGAGGCGACGAGCCGGGCGGTGATACGTACAATAGCAACCGTTCAACGGCGACCTGAGGTGTGGATATGTGGAGGTTCACAAACCTCGCCACGGACCATGGCGAGGAAAGCCTACAAAAGGAATAAGACAGCACTGTACGTTCAGGATGCTCACAGGCCCCGGGTTCGCGAGCGCCCCAGTGCGAGGCAACGGTGTTATGGATAGCGTCCGGCGGGGACACACAGACACCCACATTCCGTGGCGTGGTGGAAGGGCGAGGGTCGCGAGGAGGCCGGTCTCAAGCGAGGCGTGCAGTCGCGAGGAGACGTGCCGGCCCGGTCAAAAGGACGTGGTGGTGGTCAAGAGCAGAAGGCATTCCGCCTCGCCTCGTATTTTGCGCTGCGACTTGTCCGGGCGTTGTGTGGACGGCCGTCGCCAGAGCGCGGGCGCCGCGTTGGCGGCTGTGAGCGGACAACGCACACGTAGGCGCCCATGCCACAGCTCCCATCACGGCGTTCAAACTCCGCCACGCGCCCCCACCACACCATGGCGTCCAACGCGTCGACGCAGGCAGGCAGCAAGAGATGGACCTACTTTCATTCTGCGCTGCAGCTCGCCATACAGCGGTCGGCACATAAATGGACGTGAGTCCTAACTGAACTGTGTGCGCCCCATGCGACTCACAGCGCGGATGCCATATGCAGCTACGAGGACTTCGCCGAGTGTTTCGCGCTCTGGTGCGACGAGCAGCCGGAGAACGCGGCTACCATCTTCAACCTTGTCTCTAGCCGACTCGAGTCGTCGATCACAGTACACACCGGTCTCTTCTTCTAGAACAAGACACATGCTCACCAACGTGACTCTAGGAAAACTGCGAGGAATTGTTCAAGAAGTACAACGTGAGAGAGAATCTCGATAATCTACACGCGGTGGTCACGGCCGCGCGCGCACGGAAGCAGGCAGGCTATGACGGCAAGGACGTCTGGAGAGAGGATCTCCAGCCTCGAGCCGCAGTCAGGGCTAGAACCGTCCCGATACTCGAAAAGGAGCGGGACCGCCTTCGCGCCGAATTGTCTCAGGTACGTACCAAGTTGAACACGAGTGTCGGGCGTGTGCGCTGATCACCTCGTGTGCTAGCTGACCGAGGAGAACTCTGAACTTCAATCTCAGATGCAACGCAACGTGCATGAGAAGGAGCAGGCCGACGCAGACGCCGCAAAGCTCTTGGACCTCATGGATCAGGTGAGATCTCCTGTCCTCGATCTCATAGAGCATCACAGAATGACGCAACTTGCAACAGGCGCTATCTCGATGGTCCAATCTACCGCTTGAAGACATTCAAGCATGGGCGTTGCAGACCGCAGAGGCTGGTGGAAGTAAGCCCTGAGTTAGCCGCGTGTCGATTATATACACCATCGTTGTGGCGTCGTGTACTGTAGTATTGTTGTACATTTACAATTGAACATCACCCCCAGGGTAATGAGAGAACGTTTTGATACCTTGGTGCCAGCCCAAGCTCGGGTAAAAAGAGCTCTCTGTCGGGGAGTCGAACCCCGCTTTCGCGCGGCCAACCGATGATGACAGGCGCGTGTACTAACCGATATACTAACAGAGACGTTAATACAGTGACGGCCGAAAGTCATGTGCCACCCCCTTGTCGGCTCGATGATTTCCAAATTCCCTGTAATTTATGAACACTATATACATGCTCTATATGCACATGTAGAGTCACCCCAATGTGCTACATGATGCAATCACTCCCATGGAAGTTCAGTCTAATTTCTGGGAGATATCTGAGCAACAAGTCTAACACCACTAAAATGGGATCGCAAAAATCCGGTCAAGTTAACTATATTTTACACATTCCCTGTGGAACCACAGTGGTCATGGGAATGGCAGTGTTATACAATGGAAGGGTCATGCATTATGTCTGATATGCTCTAGAGCTCTAGGGGATATAACTCACGAGGATGTTTTTATAGATACTACATTGATTGCGGGATTCTACAAGGGATAACTGCTTCAAGCCTGCTCAACCACAGATGAACGTGATACCATTTAGAGCATCAGGAGAAGTACTTAACAGACATGACCAAAATGGGACGGTTGCATATTGCATTGCAGAGATATTTGAGTGAAAAGTATATTTCTGGCCCACTTTGGCACATTTGGAAGCATTTTTACAAGGCTGGACCTAAGTGCCATGCAGCGCCTGATAGTTATACGGCAGTACGGTAGGGGTCCTATATTATGCTGGGCTTTATGGATGATGACCATCTCTCCTTTCAAAGTTGTGCTTCAGAAAGCCTAAAAATTAGGTTTGTCATATCACTAATTTGTGCAAAATGCAGCTCAATCCCCAATAAGGATGGTACCTTGCATTGGTGTAGGGCATATATACAGAGTCTCCTATAATGCACTTATCCAGGGTACATTTACTCCTATCTGCTGCCTAGTTGTAGTACAAATAAAGAAAACATTTCTGATGCAATATGACCAACCCCATCTTTGAGCTTCCTGGGGCACAACTTTTAAACCAGAAGTGTTTATAACCTGTAAAGCCCAGCATTATATAGTATACCTTCTATACTACCCTATGACTATCAGGCGTCATGTGGTACCCAGGTCCAGCCTTGTAAAGATGCTTCCGAATTTGCCCAAGTGGGCCAGAAATACACTATTAACTCAATTATCTCTGCAATACTATAAGCAACTGTCCCATCTTGGTCATGTCTGTTAAGTGCTTCTCCTGATGCTCTAGATGGTATAACATTCATCTGTGGCAGAGCAGGCGTGAAGCAGTTATCCCTGGTAGAATCTTGCAACCAATGTAGTACCTATAAAAGCATCCACATGGGTTATATCCCCTAGAGCTCTAGAGCATATCAGACATGAAGCATGACCTTTCCATTGTATAACACTGCCATGCCCATAACCACTGTGGTTCCACAGGGAACATGTGAAATATGGTTAAATTGACCGGAATTTTGCGGTCCCATTTCAGTGGTGTTAGACTTGTTGCTCAAATATCTCCCAGAAATTAGACTGAACTTCTATGGGAGTGATTGCATCATATAGCACATTGGGGTGACTCTACATGTGCATATATAGCATGTATGTAGTGTTCATAAATTACAGGGAATCTGACAATCATTGAGCCGGCAGGGGGGTGGCACATTACTTTCGGCCGTCACTGTACCATGGTATATCTGTGTTTATATATCGCACAGAAAGGTATGGCCAATATCAGCTTGCGGATCCTGAACGATGACCAGGACTCTCTTCTTCTCAAACTGACGAAGACTACAATGTCTGCCATATTCATGTAATAAACTGCGCACTACCCTTTCACAACAAATCTTGGGCAGTCCACTCTCAACCGCACGTCGTGTAATACCGTGGCCATCTTGTCCACAACGCTCGCGCTTGACGACGAGGTACTGACGTGCGTGAGCACAGGCGTGGCCTGCTCATCCTTTGGTGCTGACCTTCCAGTTGCTCACCTTCGGCTCCATCGGTATATGTACACTTTCTCAGTCGCGCAATCGCGCCGCCCGCCTATCCCTCCCTCGGAACTGCACTGGAGCCCTAGGCCTGGGGTCCGTAACTCTCTCCTTCGCCTTCACCTCGCTCGTCCCTTACCGCCCCGGACCCTCGGAATCCGTCCATTCTCCCTAGATACCTCGGCCTCCCGTTGAAAACCGTGTTTTCCGTCCTGAGGACGGTCGTCTATTTGTGCAGCGTCCGGGCGAGCTTGAGAGACGCCCGGTGCTCGGCACGAAGCTGGGTTCCAACTTGGTTCCAACTTGCTCGACAGCGACTTTTGCAGCCTCCAAGCACTGGCACCGCTCGTTCTCTTGCTGCTGTTGCACGCCGAACGGAGCACCCTGGGCACTACCTCCGCAGGGGGCCTGGGGCTCGGATATATCGGCAACGCGGATTTGCCTATCACGGAGGTTGGTCAAGCGGCTCGAGGTAGGTTGGGATGCCGATTTCGCAGCCGTGCAGCGCCCCGTTCGCAGTATATATGTATCGTGACCCCTCACCGCTGTATGACGATGCAGTCTACCATCGCTCAGTGGACGTCACAGCCTTGGCGGGTGCGGAAGTCATGGATTCAGCAGTTCTGCCTGCTCGCCGAGGTTATGTTGTATAGCGAGCTGCCAAAACGAGCTTCGCAAACGTCAGAAGCGCTGCTGTACCTGCGCCCAGAATAGTAAGCGAAGCCCGGGTAGTGTCAACGTTTCTAGAGAGCATTTTCGATTGTCAGATGAACTACTGGTAATACTCGACAACAAGAAGTAGACCTAGGTCAGTACAACGACGGTAATGATGAGCACAGCACTTTGGAAGCATGATATCGTAGGCCTGAAGGAACAAGTAAGAGACACATGCGAGAGGAGCACTATAGTAGACTTACACAGTGGCAACAGATATGTGGCACTACGGAACAGGAGGTATGTACATACAGAAGGGATATGTGGTGTTTTGATATGGTATATGGTTCTGACAGCAAGTACATAATCAACACACAAGATGAGAGCTGCAGCCGTTTGTGCTTGCTCATAGACTCAAGCGGGATGGGGACACTCAGGGCAGAACGGGCTCGAGGGCGAAGCTCATCGCCTGTATGCACAACTCAAAGGGTCCGCGGGGGACCTGTGATGGCCCTACAGACATCATCGAGCGGAACAGCACCCCAAATACTGAGAGTTATTCGGTAGCCCGCCTCTTACCCTTCCCGCCGCTGTGCTTTGAGCCGCCGGCGCGGGTGGACGACTTGCCCTTCTCGCGGCTCGTCGACCACGCACTTGGGCCGGGATTGGATGCAGTGGAGGCAACCGAGGTCGTTGGCGAATACAACGTGGACTGGTACGGGGACGGCGGCGGCCCGCCGCTTCCGCTGATGTGAGAAGGGTGGTGCACGGAGTAGCCGTGCGACCCTGCGTCGTCACGACGGTACTCTTCGTCCTCGTCCTCGTCCTCATCGTCTTCTGCGCTCGTCCTCGACTTCTTTCCTCGCTCCCGTTCGGTCTCGCGCATGTTGACGCGGATGTTGTGCATCGAGAGGAGCTGGAGATAAGTAGTGGTTGGTCAGCAAAGAGCATTCAGGGGGATGGTCACACCGAGGCGACATTTAATAAAAAAGTTTCCTACCTTAGTGAGGGATGTTGATGGGCGTAAACCGGGAAACTCCTTGGTAGAGTACACCTTGAATGGGCCACCGTAGCATTCGGCAAGCACGGGGGAGAAATCCCCGGGATTGAGCCGGGGAGAGATGTGCGTAGCTCGGTAGCGCAAGACGAAAGTGCCCTCGACTTTGACCGCCAAGTCCTTCAAGGGAGCATATCCGCGTCAGAGGCTTATGCACGGCAATAGTGGTAGCGAGTTCCACTCACGGAGTAGACGAACATGGCGGCGTTTTTCCCTTTGTAGTTCAAGACCTCCGCCTGCGTGAACGTCGCGCCCGCGAGCACGGAGGTGCATTTTGTGCTCTCGCGGATCGGGAAGGAGCCGATCCAGGCGACGATGTCGTTGGGAACCTCGGAGGGCTGCGCCCGCGCCGGCTCCCGCGTGACACCGCCTGTGATCGAGTCGACTCCTGGAAGCATGGTGGCCTGTCCATACGGAGTAGGCCCCAAGCCTGCAGAGCTGTGGAGGGCGGCTATGGGTGCTTGTGGGTATGGGATGGGCCCAGAAGCATAGTATGGTACTGTGAACGGTGGGGGAGGGAGACCTCGATTGTAGGACATCGGTGGTATGATCCCTGTCATGATGTCGGTCGGCGGAGGGAGGATCAAACCGGCGAGGCTAGAGGCCTGCGTGCTTTGAGCGACCGGCTGGTATGGGGTCGAAAATGGGAGCTTGGGCGACGCGCCGGGCTGGGGAGGATGGCAATACTGGTCGAACTCCTCGGGCACAGGGAAGAGGTCTATGTGGCACACGGCACCCAAAGACTGCGAAAAATCAATACTGGGCAGGGCACGAACAGCAGATATGTGGACGGACCGCTCTCGTGACGTCGAGTTCTTGCTCGCGGACATTGTGTAAGCCTTGGTTGATGACCTTGAAGAATCGACAGTGTACGACGGGAGGCGGGTCCAGAGGCCGCTTATCCTTGCGTGCGTATCTTTGGGACAAAAACGAACGAGATCGTTCACAGCGCGATCTTGATCAGGCGGCGATATGCGCACGGAGATTGGGCGCGAGCGTACTTGCGGCCGAGATCTGCCTTTTGTATTTCTTCGATCTCTGCGCGCACCGTAAGGCCAGCGAGGACACCGGTGTCAAAAAACGTAGGCAAGCCGCGTCCTGGTTCCACGCTGCGTGGTTTCTGTGTTCAAACGGGTCCAGGTGAATGCTCGAGCACGATGGTGGGCAAAGATGTGTGCGCACCGGATACCAGTCGCTGTGTGGAGCCGACATTCTGGGAAAATGCGGGGCCCCGGTCGTTGGCGACTCGCGAGAAGTGTGGTGCGTGGGAAATAGGCTGAATCCCTCAGGCCTCAGGGCGGCTGCGACGAGCCCGACGGGCGGGCAGGACAAATGGCGAGGGAAGGTCCGGCGGATGACGAATGGCTAGGGAGGTCCTCTGGTGCAGAGGGACGGGCGGGG